AATATATATATATATATATTTTATTGATTTCAGAGAGCAAGGAAGAGGGAGAGATAGAAACATCAATGATGAGAATCACTGATCAGCTGCCTTCTGCATGCCCCACACTGGGGATCGAGCCCGCAACCCGGGCATGTGTCCCAACCGGGAATCAAACAGTGACCTCCTGGTTCATAGGTCAGGTCGGTGTGCAACCACTGAGCCACACTGGCCAGACATCAGAGAGGTTTAATCGCACCCAGAGGAGGAGTCCAGCCGAGCCCCTGGGCTGCACCACCCCATCCCAAGGAGGAAAGGCCAGCTCTAGGGACAGCCTGTCTGCGGTGGACAAAGCTCTGAAACTGGCACAGCCTCCTGGGCAGGCTACACCCTGGACTGCGCCAAACAGCCCGATCCCCGCCCTGGCCAGCCATCCCCACCTGGTGCTAATTTGCAGGCCCCAAGGCCCCTCCCGGACCTTGAGCTCACAGGAGCTATTGGGACTGAACCAGGGATTTGCATGGGCCTGAGAGTGGAGGGAAGGCTGCCCTGAGGGGCTGCTGAAGGGGAGTGGGGTGCAGAAGAGGGGTTGGCTACGGTCCAGCCCTCCCTTGCCCTGGGGTGAGGGTGCATAATTGTTCCCGTATAATTGTTCCCGTGTTAATTGCTGGGGCCGTAATGTCTGCAGAGGCTTTAATGAGTGATGGCTGGTCGGACTTGGATTATTTTTCTTTTGGAGGAAGACAATGTTTCCCACCCACGAGACAATACCGTACTGTCTGGGCCCTGCACTCGGAGGCCCGGCTCACTGTGAGGCTGGGTGAGGAGGAGCCCACCCACCCAGGCCTGTGGTACCCCTCCCACCATCCCAACTCAGAGGCAGGAATCTGGGGTCAGTGGGAGGGACCCTCTTGTTCTGTCCTCTGAGTGGTGGGGTGGGGGGAGGTCAGAGGGCCATTTGAGTCCTGGCGTCGCCCCTTACTAGCTGTGCCGCCTTGCCCAAATCACTTTCCCTCTCTGAGCTTCCATTTCATTCCTTCTGAAACAGGACCAGGGATCATCTTCTGTGAGCTGAGGGTTAGGGGAGGTGTTGGGTTAGGGGAGGTGTTGGATGCAAAAGCTTGATGTAAACTGTGAAGTGTGCCGTGGAAATAAGGGATGACTGTGATGATAGCAATAATGAAACGGCCTGCATTGCCCACCAGGCACTGGCTATGGAAGGATGTGGAAGAGCGATGCTGCTCACAGGGCACGATCCGATGCCCGGGGACACAACTCCCTCCTGGCGAGGTTAGTCCCAGGCGACCGACATTCCCCCTACTGTGTGGCCCCTCCGAAAATGGGGTGCTAGGAGGGGACAGGAGGGGCCTCCTGGATCTCAGGGCTTCCCCAAAAGTGGGAACTGAAAGTGCCCCTTTGCCACAAGGACACTGAGACTTAAAGGTTTCACACGCAGTCACTGATAGAGGCAGGATTTGAACCTTGGCCCGAGGGGCCCCCCGAGCCCTGTCCACTGCACTGAGGTGCAGCCCTGGCAGGACCCTCCCTCCCCCCCCCCCCTCCACCCCGACTCTCCAGTTCAGGCTTGCTTACTTCCCCAGCCCCTGTTCCTTCTCAGTCCCGGAGCCAAGGCCACGCCTCCAAGTGGCGCTGCCCACAGCGATCAGGTATCCAGGGAAAGCCAGGCCCGAGCTGGTGGCAGAGAAGAGGGGTCCCTCTCTGGCCTCAGCATCCTGCTCTGGGAGGCGGTGCCTCTGCCTTCAGGGTCTCAGGCTGCCTGCCAGGCATCCTATCGTCTCCCTCCCCACAGCTCAGGCACGCAGAGCCCCCTGGGCACGGTCCCTCCTCGCCTGTGCGGCTTCGCGGGGCGCACGGGGAGGCAGTGGCGTTCATCTGGCCCTGCTGTGCAGTGACATGCCTCTCCCCGAAGCTAGGGGCTTCCTGAAACTCGGCCCAGTCTTATCTGCCGAGGTTTGCCCCAACGTGTCCCAGGAGTAAGCAAGGCTCCAGTGACATGTGCGTTTGGCAGGTGGCGGGAGTATCAATCAGCCCCTTGTCAGCCCTGCGCCTGCTGGCTTTTGAGAGGACGCCAGTGCCGTGGACTGGGGCTCGGGGAGGGTGGAGGGGAGACCATTTGCACCATCCAGGTAGTGACAGATGCTGTCCTTGCTGATCCCCTCAACTGGAACTCGACTCAAGACCCCACCCCCTGTCCTCAGCCGGTCCCCAGGGGCCCTGCATCCCTGCATCCCTCCCTGCGCCTCTGCCCACCGACCCCCGGGGCCATGGCTCTCCTGCAGCCCTGCAGGCACTCACATGGCGTCTGGGAGCTGGACAGCACAGAGCAGGGACAGGAACTGAGAGCAGGTAGCTGGCCACCTAGGGACCAGGGTCCTGGGCTGGGGGCAGCCGAGAAGCCCAGCTGAGGCCAGGGCTGGCCTGAGCTGCTCTAACTGTGTGTGATTCGACTTACTCTGCGTCCTCAACCTGGAGTGTGGAAATGAACCTGAACTCCAAGTGTTAAAACCATGGCCTGGGGCAACAACACCATTCGTTCTGAATCATCTCTTTTGTTGCATTAAAAAAAAAAGAAAAGAAAAACTCCACACCAGCCACATGGAGGTGTGCAGGCAGCTGTGTTTGTCAGGAATGCAGAAGGAGCTGGCTTGCCTTTGGGGGAGGAGACATAAACCCACAACACCCTCCGAGGGGTGTATATAAGGAGCCCCAGGTCCGGGGGGTGACAGGCACAGCACTCTGGTCTCGGGGCAGCCTCTACCTCCTGCGCTTGCTGATCTCACGGGCAGCCGCCTGGCCATGAGCACCACGTTTCTGACTTCTTCCTCCACCTTCGGAGGTGGCTCTCCCCGGGGGGGTGCCCTCCGGGGCGGGGGCAGTGGCTTTGGTGGGGGGAGTCTTTATGGGGGCGGTGGAAGCCGAAGTATCTCGGCTTCTTCTGCCAGGTTTGTCTCCTCGGGGTCAGGAGGGGGCTACGGGGGCGGCATGAGTTCTGGCTTCGGTGGAGGGGCTGGTGGTGGCTTTGGAGGTGGCTATGGTGGGGGTTTTGGCGGTGGCTTTGGTGACTTTGGGGGTGGCGATGGCGGCCTCCTCTCCGGCAACGAGAAGATCACCATGCAGAACCTCAACGACCGCCTGGCCTCCTACCTGGACAAGGTGCGCGCCCTGGAGGACGCCAACGCTGACCTGGAGGTCAAGATCCGAGACTGGTACCAGAAGCAGAGCCCGGCCAGCCCGGCGCGCGACTACAGCCACTACTTCAAGGCCATCGAGGAGCTGCGGGACAAGGTGAGTCCTAGGGGTCAGAGGGAGGGGGCGGGTGGCGGGTGCCCTGCCCACACCTCTAGTATCCGTGCTCCTGCTGCCTCGAGGGAATCCTCTCCTGCCCGGCAATGACTGCCAGTGGGTAACCTTGGAGCCCAGGGAATGCTTCCCAGGCCTGGACGCCGGCACCCATCTGCTCCCCTTGGCAGTGCTGGGCCGGTCCTGGGATCTGGTCAGGACCGCTGGGGGCCAAGGTGGGCGCAGTGACAGAAGGCAACGGCTCTCCCTGAACCACGCACCCTAGAGAGCAGGTGCCGTCCGCTGCTTCTGCGAGAACGAAGGATGTGGCTGCAGGAGCCTGAGTGCAGGGCTTCCTGCCACACCCTCTGAGGATGTCTCTGGTGCCAAAAGCACTGTTGGGGCTTAGAAGACCTGGAATTCTCTACGGGCTCTGCTGCCCACTCACTCACCCTGTTGCTCTCCTGGGCCGGTTTTCTCAGCTGTGAGATGCCCTCCTCAGCTGCCCTCCAGGTCCCTCCTACTGGCTTTGGGGATGGGAGGTCCTGTAGATCCCTGGCTGGGTCAGGCTGTGCAGGGGCCAGCGACTCCGAGCTGTCCAAGGGGAGGCGGGTGGACGATCCCTGAGAGGGCCATTGTCAGAGCCCCACCCCCACCCCACCCACTCTATTCCCACAGGGGGTGCCAGGCAATCCTTGTTCCTTGGTCTTCCATGCCCCTGAGACAGGGGCAGATCAAGTAGTGGGCACCGAGATAAGGGTGGACTCGGCCCCAGGGGCCCCACAGGCTTCTGTTGGTGGTGGCAGAGGAGAGATCATCCCCTGAGGTGGGGGGGAGGATGACCTGGGGAACAGGGTGGGGAGAGCAGCAGGGAAGAGGGGGATCCTCTTGGCACCAACTGTCTGTCTCCTACAGATCCTGGCGGCCACCATCGACAACTCCCGGGTCATCCTGGAGATTGACAACGCCAGGCTGGCTGCCGACGACTTCAGACTCAAGTGTGTTCCTGCTCCGCCCCTCCCCTTCCCCCCTTTCCTTGCCCCCCCACTTCCCAACTCAAGCAGCCCAGACCCCTCGCCCTTCCTTAGCTTGGGCTCCTTCTCTTTTCCCAGGTATGAGAACGAGCTGGCCCTGCGCCAGAGCGTGGAGGCCGACATCAACGGCCTGCGCCGGGTGCTGGACGAGCTGACGCTGGCCAAGGCCGACCTGGAGATGCAGATCGAGAGCCTGAAGGAGGAGCTGGCCTACCTGCGGAAGAACCACGAGGAGGTGGGGTGGTGAGACCAGAGTGGGGCCGCTGGTGCCTCCTCACAGTTGTCTGGAGGGCTTGGTGGTTCAGAAATGCACCCCATAAACTCCAAAACAGGGGTCCCCACGGAGAGGAAGGGGTACTGTTCTCTGGTGACCCAGACCCCTTTCCTCCCTCATCCATAGCCAGAGCAGGTGGCCCGTGGGAACTGCTGTCCGGATCTGCTTCATGAGCTCATGCAAGGGCCCTGCTGTTTTGAGGTCCTCCCTTGGGAGCACTAGAGAGGAAGAGACCCTGAGAGCGGAGGGGCCCATGCGATCAGACCTCTTCCTGCACCGTGGGAAGCAGGTGGGGTGGGTACGGGAGAGCCACGGTCACGCAGTGAGTTAGGGACTGAGAAGAATTGGCATAGGGGGCCCCAGACTCTCTGCTCTCCTGCCCTCTGTCGCCACCCTGCAGGAGATGAAGGAGTTCAGCAACCAGGTGGCCGGCCAGGTCAACGTGGAGATGGACGCGGCCCCGGGCGTGGACCTGACCCGCGTGCTGGCCGAGATGAGGGAGCAGTACGAGGCCATGGCTGAGAAGAACCGCCGAGACGCCGAGGCCTGGTTCTTCAGCAAGGTGCGCCCGGCCTCCCGGCCTCCCCAGCCCCCCAAGTCTCTCAGGAAGTCCATGGGGCTCACTTCTCTGTGTGTGACCTACAGACCGAGGAGCTGAACAAGGAGGTGGCCTCCAACACAGAGATGATCCAGACCAGCAAGACAGAGATCACAGACCTGAGACGCACCATGCAGGGGCTGGAGATCGAGCTGCAGTCCCAGCTCAGCATGGTATGGCTCCCCCGCCCCCCAACCCTAGTCTATTCCACCCTCCATGGTGGATAAAGCCTTGGTGTTCCCAACCCCTAAAGAGGGGGTTCCCTGCGTTCATTCAACACCCCTCCCCGTGCCCCTGGTGCTTCCTTCTGGCCGGACGTGGCGCCTATTGGTCTGCTGTCCCCCTAGAAAGCCGGGCTGGAGAGCTCGCTGGCGGAGACGGAGTGCCGCTATGCCACGCAGCTGCAGCAGATCCAGGGGCTCGTCAGCAGCCTGGAGACCCAGCTGGGTGAGCTCCGCAGCGAGATGGAGGCTCAGAACCAGGAGTACAAGCTCCTGCTGGACATCAAGACGCGGCTGGAGCAGGAGATCACCACCTACCGGAACCTGCTGGAGGGCCAGGATGCCAGGCAGGCCGGGTGCAGAGGGAGGGAGGGGGGGGAGCGCCATCCAGGGGGTTGATAGTGCTGCAGTGAGCGAGGACGGGGCGAGAGGCCGGGCTCTGGATTCTGCACGCTGGTCTTCGGCTGTTACCTTGCGCAGGTCACGGTCACTTCTCTGGACCTATGTGTCTTCTGCACACGGCAGCCGTGGGGCTAAGGGTGGTTCCGTTCCATGCATGAAGCAGAGGGGGTGCTATTGTAGACCAGCATCTGTCTGCACGTGGGTGGCATGGCGGGACCAGCTCTCAGCCTCTGGAGAAGTCAGATTTGGGGGGGGGGGGGATGTAGGGGTCTGGGGAGGACCCCTGAGCCTTGGCTTACATCTGCTTCCCCTCTTTCAGGATGGCCGGCATTGGCACCAGAGAAGGTAAGAAGGCTTCGCTCTTCCTGAGTGGGGAGGGGCATGGCTAAACCCCCATTCCTCTTGAATGGGAGGAAGGAGAAAGAGGCTGAGCATGCCAGTCGGGTGGGGACACGCCCATCCCGGTTGGTACCTCTTCCCCAGGGGGACCCTCTAGCAGCCCCGGGGGAGCTGGGGTTGAAGATTTATCGAGAACCTCCCAGGCTGAGCAGGCTCTGTCTAGTACAGCGGTTCTTAACCTGTGGGTCGCGACCCCTTTGGCGGTCAAACGACCCTTTCACAGGGGTCGCCTAAGACCATCCTGCATATCAGATATTTACATTACGATTCATAACCGTAGCAACATTACAGTTATGAGGTAGCAACGAAAATAATTTTATGGTTGGGTCACAACATGAGGAACTGTATTGAAAGGGCCAGAAGGTTGAGAACCACGGGTCTAGGGCCTCGCTCCCCCAGGCCCCACCGCCACGCACTTAGGCTGAGATGCCCAGGAGGACTCCCTGTTCCGTGCAGTTAAAACCCCTGACATCCATGCTCACTGCCGGGCACCTGCCGCGGCCACCGCCCTTCTCTGCAATGAGCAATTCAACCCTAGCCCTTCTGGCAGCTCTTGAAGGAGGGGCCAGTGGCCACTCTCAGGGGTGCTGCCCAGTTTTCCCAGAACTCAGCCAAGTCCCACCCCCTGGGAGTGGAGGAGGGCGGGGAGGGCCCCCACTCTAAAGCTTGCTCCTTCTTTCTAGCCTCCCTGGGAGGCGGCGGCGGCAGCAGCAAACTCCACATCAACGTGGAGGAGTCAGTGGACGGGAAGGTGGTTTCTTCCCGCAAGAGAGAGATCTGAGTGCCCAGGGCAGGAGCGATGTCCCGCACACGCCCACCCTCCCAGGCTGACGGAGGACTGGCCGGAGGGGCGGGACAAGCAAACTCGCTTCTGCCTTCAGCGGTGCCAGCGCAAGAGGGTCCTGGTCTCCTAGTTGGGAGCGTCCCTTGCTCTCCCCTCCCTCCACCCGCCAGCTCTCCCTCCTCATTGTGTAACAAGGCCATCCCTACGGTGTGGTGTTTGTCCAGGCAATAAAAATCGCTTTTCCTTTTTCAAATATTCAAGAGGGTCCTGGTCTCCTAGTTGGGAGCTTCCCTTGCTCTCCCCTCCCTCCACCCCCCAACCGCCAGCTCTCCCTCCTCATTGTGTAACAAGGCCATCCCTACGGTGTGGTGTTTGTCCAGGCAATAAAAATCGCTTTTCCTTTTTCAAATATCTCTTGGTAGTGCATCCAGTTTTTCTTGTCGGGGCCTCTGAGGAAGCCCAGGGCCCACATGCTGACGTCTCCCCCCACTTTGGCCTCTTCCCTGCCGGGTGTAATTCATTCTTTGGGGTGCCCAGGGCCCCGGGACAAGCCCACGCTGCCCGGGTGACTTGCTGTTCTGATGGACTCCATTCGGTGATCATGGGAGCCGGAGACGGGGTGGGTGGGTGAGGAGGCGCTTCCTCAAAGCGGTTTTGCGAACTTGGCACAGAACTTGGCAGAGCAACGAATTATTCTTTCTTATAGACATCACTTTTTATTTTTGTAGCTTACAAAAGGAATAAATATGCTTTATGTAAAACCATCGACTAATGACTTACCGTGTGACTGGCTGCATGGAGTGTACTGGGTCCCTGCTGTGTGGTCGGCACTGTGCTGGGCAACCCACCCACGGGGTCTCCTGTAATACAACGGGGGGGTGGTCAGGATGACTACTCTCATCTTAGAGATGAGGAAACGTAGAGATGAGAAAGCTGGGGAGAGGCAGGACTGGCCAGTGGCCTCATGGTTGAATTTAAAGTAAGCAGCAGGGTTGGGCCTGAGCCCCACGTTTGTATGACTCCAAGACCAGGGCTTCCTCTGGCCTCCTCAGGCCCCAGCACTTCCCAGTTCACTGCTAGGACCCTCCTCCCCCACAGGTGCTGTTTGAACCTCCCTCCTTCCCAGCCAGGCACCCCTGACCTCCGGGTGGCAGAGCCATTCCCATCTCTGCCCCCTGAAGTCGCCAACTCCTCTGCACAAAACACTTCAAGTGCCCAGAGAGAAAAACACCAGCTCCAGGAGGGCCTCCCTGATTTCCCCAAGCTTGCATCCAAAGCAACACCAAGCCCCATTGGCCTCCTCTGTCCAAACCCCGCTCTTGCTCCCCTGACCCCAGCCTCTCCACGCTCCAGCCCATTAGAGCCTCGGTAACCACGCACACCTGATTTATTGCCTCTGGTCTGGGGCTGGTTCCTCTGGGATTCTTAGCCCTGGAGAGAGGGCAGGGAATGAGGAAGTGGAGACCTCTGGGTGCTGTGGCTGGGCTGGGTCCGTGGGGAGAGGGAGAACTGGTTTCTTAGCCCTCTGGGAAGAGCAGGTTGGGGGAGGGGGTGCCTCTGTGATCCTGAGAATCAAATCATTTTGGGGGAGAGCCAAGCCCTCTGAGAGGGGGCCCCTGGGTCTCGCTGCATAAAACTCCTCGCCCGGCAGCTCCGGTTGGAGAAAAGCTGGCTCCTGTGCTTTCTGGGGGAGATTTGATCTAGAATGTGTCTCCTGAGTACACACTTTCCCCGGGGCTGGAGGAAGCAAACACAATTGATGAAGTGCCTGAGCTGTGCCAGGCATTCAACGAATGGCCTCTTACCTACTCTCCCAACAGCTTTGCAAAAGCGGGGTCCGCCTTCAGCGTCAGTTTTCAGGAGCGGAACCAGCGGCCCAGGGATGTTAGTAACGTGAGCAAAGTCACGGCTGGGAGATAGGGAAGCCGAGTCTGGGGATTGTCTCTGTTCCAGACCCCGGCTTTCCCCTGGCGTCACAAGAGCGACAGACGAAGGACACACCTTTCTTTCCAGGAAGTACCCAGTGGACACCCACTTCTTAACCTCTCTGGGCAGCCTGGTCCAGCCTCCTACAGCCGCTATGGCCTGAAAGATGGTCCTCGCATCTGAGCTCGGTCTCTCGTGCTGTGGTTAAGCTTATGCTGAAGCCCAAGGCACCAGGGGTCAGGTCCCCGGCCTCCTGGGAACGGCCAGGCGCCTTCCTGAGACTCTCAGACCCAACGGCCTGGCTGCTCCTGCCTCACCGCCTCGGCCTCTGTGGAGAAGTCTTAGGCCCGAAGCAGCACAGGTGTTCTCAGCCTTTACTCTGTGAGAGTAATGACCTCTGCAAGCTGCAGACAGGCAGGTGGGGCCTTCTCTGGGGGCTGGGCCCCGAGCTGCGGGACGGGGAGGGAGGCTGTCTCTCTCTCCCTGCAGTACCAGGCCCTGCTCTGCTGGGGCTCCAGGAGGGCTGTCAGGGAGGCCCTCGGACTTGCCAAGCCCTGGCCCCTGCCTGACCCTGGAGTGAGCTGCCCACACCCAGGGGTAGCTCTGCCAGGCCGAGCCCTTAAATAGTCTCAGCAGAGATGGCCCGCCTCCTGCCTGCCCCTGGGATGAGGTCGGGCTTGGCCTCCAGCCAATCTGAGCCTCAGGCACTGGGCCTCCCTTTTCTCCACGAGAGAGGGCAGCTTTGGGACTAGGGATTAGGGCCCCGGGCGTGTCCTTTGCTGGGGCTGGGCTTCCTAGCGCAAGCGTGTGATGTGCCCACCACTCTCCCCCTGAGGACTTCGGCTGGTCCTTGCCCCTCTCCGGGCCTCAGTGTCCCATCTTTAAATTGAGGAGTCTGGCTGCACACGATGGTTTGGAAGATCTCTGTGAGCTGGGACTCAGAGGGGAAGCCGCCTGTGGGAGCTGGGACAGCGGGGCCATGTCTACTCTGGGCATGGCTGTGTCCTCAGAGTGGGCGCTAAAGAGATCCTGACTTAACGCATGCACTTGCTTCTCCTTTGCTTTCCTGCCTCAGACATGGCTCTGGGTGCCTGATAGCAGGTTGGGCGTGTGCCCACCTGGTGCTCACCTGGCCCTCCGGGGGCAGCTGGCGGTACAGGGGAATGAGAAGCTGGCAGTAGTTGCCAGGCCGGTGTGGCTCGGCAGTAGAGTATCGACCCAGGAACCAGGAGGCCATCAGTTTCATTCCCGGCAGGGCACATGCCCAAGTTGCAGGCTCAATCCCCGGGGGGGAGAGGGGGGAGGTGTGTAGGAAGCAGCCAATCGATGATGTTTCTCTCTCATCCATGTTTCTGTCCATCTCTTTCCCTTCCTCTCTCTCTAAAAATCAATTAAAATATTAAAATAAAATAAAAAGCTATACAATAAAAAAAAGAAGCTGGCAACTTTCCCATGAGATTTAGAGCTGGGGTGACCCCACTGGATATCACGCCTGCTTTCCACCCTTCTCACCCCAAACCAGCAGACAGCGTTGTGAGTGTCCTCGCAAGCCCCGAGCTTTGGCGCTCACACCAGAGACAGTCGTTAGACGGCTGACCCATCAGGCATCAGCTGCACCGGCTGTGCCACTGTGGGAAGCAGGACCGCCTGCCAGCTGGGCCTGGGGGATGGGGTCCTGAGCACGGAGAGGTCAACAGAGGATACCCCTGTTTGGATAGGATGGCACTAACACTGGCCTGAAAGGGGCTTACCAGGCAGTAGCTAAGGGCACAGACCCTGCAACCAGAGGTTTAAGTCTTGGCTCTGACACAATTGAGTTTGGGTAATTGAGTTTGGGCAATGCATTAACCTCCATGGGCCTCAGGTTCCTCATCTGAAAAAAGGGTATGATAAAAATAGTCAAGTTGCCTTTTTTTGGGTCTGTGTTACATTTATTTATTTATTTTAATTTAAATTCTTTATTACCTAAAGTATTACATGTCTCCTTCCTCCCCGCCCGCCCATTGACCTCTCCCTGGACGCCCCCACACCCTATAGTCAAGTTGTTTTGAAGTCATGCATGTAGAGTGGTTAACACAGCATTCAAGAAATGTTAACTAGTGTTGTTTTATTATCTTTAAACACATACAGAATGGAACACCTGGAGATCATTCATTAGCAAGCCTCTTCGACAACATCGGGTGGGGTCGAGAGAGCCAGGGTCCAAGTTTAAATCTTGACTTCATGGTGACCTTGGCCAAGTGGCTTGGTCTCCCTGGACCTCAGTGGCCTCATCGATAAAACAGGGCCAATAAGCACCCTCTCTGGTTGTTGGACGGACTCAGCGGGTTAAGGGCAGCCTCCTGGGCAGGGGGTGCTCATGTACCAGCTTTCTCTCTCCTTCCCAGGAAGCGTCCTGGGGAGGGGACTGACTGTGGTGTGATTTCACCAGAACGCAAAGCAGAAAGCTCCAGACCAGCGAGCAGTGCCTCGGCCCGCACTCGGTCCTGTGCTATTAGCACCGGGACCTCCGCCCAGCTTCCCCGGGGAGGCCCAGCTTCCCTGTGGGTCAGAGGCCAGCATTCCTGTGTCAAGGCCTGAAAGTCCCTTCTGGGGAGAGAAGGGGCGGGGAGGGCTGTGCCCTGGCCCGGGAGGGGGGCATGTGTGCGCTGCTGGGCTTTGCGGGATCTGAGGTATTGTTCCTCTGAGAGGCGTTGGCCAGAACCTGCTCAGCAGCCCCGGGGAGATCATCACTCCGGGCCTGGCAGGTTCCATTAATCACCTTTTTGTCAGTTCTGATCCTCTCCTGAGAGAGCCAGAGCTCCTGGTTTGGGCTGAATCAAACCCTTTCAGAGGGAGAGCTGAGCCATCAGTTTGGGGCAGAAGGGCCGGGCCAGGTCAGGGGTCGGCGCATCTCGGGGTTCACAGGGCTTTGAGCACCCGCAGCACTCCCTGGCTCTCTCCCTGGTGCTGACACCCGCTGGGTAAAGCACAGGCCGCTTCCCTACCTGCAGCAAACAAAGGCGAGAAAGCCCTGACTCAGAGCCCTCTTTCCTGGTCTTGCTGAATCAGCCCGATCACCTCACACCGGGGCCACCCTACCCCGGCCCTAGCCTGGTCCCACGCAGACCCTCTGGCTGGTGCGGCCAGAAGGCTGCTGCCGAGAGGTTGTTCACAGCAACCCTGGCCCCTTGGTGAGTGGGGCTGGGAGCCCGAGTCCCGGGCCCTCCATTCTCAAACCTGGAACCTTCTTCTGTCCCAGGCTCTGGGTGGTCACCTCAAGGCCCTTTCCTTCCAGCCTGGGTGGTGAGGGCCCCTTTGACAGGGTTATTAAGCGCAGCTGAGTTTCA